ATATATATATATATATATAGAGAGAGAGAGAGAGATTGTTCAGCCCAGGGCGTTTGATGGTCTGACTTCAGAGTGCTTTGTCAATCAGATGGGCAGTGTCAAATCTGGAAAATGTTACCGATAGAGCACTTATTTTAACCTGAAGAGAAGAGATGTGCTACAGGGCTGATATGTCTGTATGCTCAATGTTCGAAAGCAGAATTAAACAAAAAATCAAAAAGAGATTTTTATTTTTATTTTTTTGTGGACTGGTGTATGCTGCCTTTTTCTGTTCACTTACTTAATGTTCAAAAAGAAACTTTTACAAAACAATACTGGTAGGAGAAAATTACATTGTTGGTCATAACTGTCTCAGTGTCTGACATATGGACAACAATAGTCCACATATTACTTGTCGTACTAGCAGTTAGAAAGAGAAATTGCTTTCTTCCTGCAATAAAACAATGCAATATGCTGGAAAAGGCTATATCCTACCTTGAGTACATTGGATTCCGCACAATCACACTACCAGTTGTGAAGAAATCCTCTCCAATGGGCAAATAACAAATGAACAAATAAGGTGTGGGATATGGGAGGTGGGCAGGTTGCACCAAACCAGTTGTCTGTCCCTTGTTTTTTTAGTTCAGATATAAGTGGGATTTTCTCCTAAAAAATCAGCCTACTAAGGCCCCTTCTACACTACTATGTAATCCAAATTATCGAAGCAGATAATCCACATCTGCTTTGAACTTGATTATATGAATCTTCATTGCTATATAATCCAGTTCAAAGCAGAAAATCTGGATTTGAGATGGTTGTGTAGAAAGGTCCTATGGTGATCTAAGGCAGCTAAAAAAGTAAATAAAGCAAATGAAAACAGAAAAACATATGAAGACGGCGGAATTCCAGACAAAAAACAATCAGGGCCAGTTAACACCCTCCAACAAAGGATTCCCCCAGGCAGGAAGCAGCCAGGCTTTGAAACTGCAAGGCTATTCAATGCTAATCAAGCCGGCCAATCACAACATTCACACTTGCCTCAGACAGACGAGTTCTTTCTCACACCCTGAACATTCTACTAATATATTAACCCCACAACTCTTTGTTTGCCACACAAGTCAGATGTTCTCACCTCAAAATCTTTAAACTTACTCACCCAATGACATACAGTACTCACATCAACACAATCACCATAAATAGCTTGCATTCTCTGATGAATCTCCTTTGGGGTGACACCTTCTGCTGTCAAGAATTCAGTGACTGCACATTGCTTAAGTCACACTGACTGACCATTTGCTCAAGGTTCCCTACTTCGCACTTTAACAACACAACCGTTCAATGCTAATGCTTCCCACCAAAATGGAACTGTAGAGGTGAGTCTACTGAACAAGCCAGTACCTGCCACATACCAGTACTGCCATCTGTTGAGGAGTTACGAAGGTGGAAGCATTGCTTTTTATTATTATTATTATTATTATTATTATTGTTGTTGTTGTTGTTGTTGTTATTATTTCGTGCATTTCTACCCCGCCCTTCTCAACCCCCGAGGGGGGACTCAGGGCGGCTTACAAAAGGCACAATTCGATGGCTACACAAACAATAAAATAAAACATATATAAACAGCAATTATAAACAATTAAAACAATCAGTTATACATCACAATCAATAAAACCAATCTCATGCGTCCAATTCTGGACGCATGAGATTTTGTGTCCAATTCTGGGCACCACAATTCAAGAGAGATATTGACAAGCTGGAATGTGTCCAGAGGAGGGCAACTAAAATGATCAAGGGTCTGGAGAACAAGCCCTATGAGGAGCGGCTTAAGGAGCTGGGCATGTTTAGCCTGAAGAAGAGAAGGCTGAGAGAGATATGATAGCCATGTATAAATATGTGAGAGGAAGTCGTAGGGAGGAGGGAGCAAGCTTGTTTTCTGCTTCCCTGGAGACTAGGACGCGGAACAATGGCTTCAAACTACAAGAAAGGAGATTCCATCTGAACATGAGGAAGAACTTCCTGATTGTGAGAGCCGTTCAGCAGTGGAACTCTCTGCCCCGGAGTGTGGTGGAGGCTCCTTCTTTGGAAGCTTTTAAACAGGGGCTGGATGGCCATCTGTCAGGGGTGATTTGAATGCAATATTCCTGCTTCTTGGCAGAATGGGGTTGGACTGGATGGCCCATGAGGTCTCTTCCAACTCTTTGATTCTATGATTCTATGCTAGATCAACGTTCACCAGCTCAGAATCCGTAAATTCATTCCACATTGTCAAATCCTATCAATTCTAGTCGTCATTGTCCTTTATCTATCTGCCAGGTTACCCAAAAGCCTGGTCCCATATCCATGTTTTTAGTTTCCTTCTAAAAGAGAGGGATGTCGATGACCTAATTTCCCCGGGGAGTGAATTCCACAGGTGAGGGGCCACCACCGAGAAGGCCCTGCTCCTCGTCCCCACCAATCTCACTTGTGATAGAGGTGGGGCCGAGAGCAGGGCCTCCCCAGAAGATCTTAAACTCCGAGGCAGGACGTAGAGGGAGATGCGTTCGTACTTTTCATTCAACCCTTGTATGTGTGTGTGTGTGTGTTAACCCTCATGCTATGATGAGCTATAATGTGATTAGTCACAGAGCCTCCTAATTATAGGACATTGAAGCCCACAAACAATGCTTTTTCTTATTTCTCTGTATTAATATTTAACCATAATGCACGTAAATTAATGGCATCTGTAACACTCATGTGGTTTTCAGCTATCTATTCAACCCTTTTAGGAACAGAAAAATGGGGTTGTGTGTAAGAAGCTCTTCTTGTACAGTTACTTCATAACTAGGTGACAAAGAAGCAGGCCCGTAGCGAGGGGGGGGGTTAGGGGTTCAACCCCCCCCCCGAAATGTTTCAGATTTTTTTTTTAAAAAAACCTGGTTTACTCATGAATTTTAACTGGTTAACCCAAATCCCCATGCTAAGTCTATGAGATGCAAAAAATCAAGAGTCCCTCCAGAACTGCAAGCACCATCTCAAGCAAATATTAGCCATTTATTCACACTGTCCTTACTTGCAGCAATAGCCGATGTAGTTGTTCTGGTACAGCTGTACCAGGAGCTCCAACTTTATTTGCTTTGTATTAAATGTTTGCTTGCAGTCTAGGTTTCAGGGACTCTGCAGATAGGTGGCTTCTTTGGTTGCAGTCATAGGGCAAGTCACCTGTCCATCATTGTTAAGTTTTGGTCCCGCCCCTTGCTCAGGGCAATTGGGAAGGGAAGGGAGCCATTTTTAGTTAGTCTCAGCAAGGTAAGCTTATGTATAGGATGTGTGCAAGCTTCCCCTGTACAAAAGCTTCAACCCTTAAGACCTTCCGGGGGAGAAAGGTCTTAAGAGTCTCCAAAGAATTTCCAGGAAAACAGCCCTAAAGACCAAAGAACTCCAGCTGGAGAACATCTACTGCCTTGCTGGTAGGTCCACTCGGTGTTCGACCCAGTTCGACCCGGTAGCGGAGCCCACATCAGTAAGGGTTAGATTACAGTCAGCCTGGGAGAAGTTAAAAAGGGGATTTTCCTTTAAAGAAGAAGTTATTGAAGACAGTTGCCTGTCCTTCGTGGGCAAGATTAGGAATTCACCAGTTGCCTAAAAGCTTGGAATAATTTGCTTAACTTTACTGAAGACAAGAGAAGTTTCTGTTTGATTGTTCATTAATAAAAGACTTTGTTGTACTTCTCAAGCCATCTAAAGACTGTTTGTGGTGGAAACCTCTGAAACCTTTGGCTTCCCGCTGGCCAAAGGTTGCACATCCTGTTCTAAAGACAATTATTTACATGCCCAGCGCGCAACAGAACAGTAGTGAAGCAACCAAGTGGGGGGGGGGTGTTGAATGCTCTCATTAAGGAAGCCAGACTTGGTGGAGGTGGTTGACAGGGGCGGAGCTGCAGGCTATTGAAGCCGCTGTGCTCTTTGCTTCAGCGTGAGCTAGGAGGCAGGTTTCAACCCCCCCTGCGAAATTTTCAACCCCTCCCGAAACTTTTTTCTGGCTACGGCCCTGCAAAGAAGCTAGTATAAAGTGAGTGACTTCCTAATACTGTTATTTATATGCCCTGCAGCTGCAAAGAACATGCCAAAAATAAAAGACTGGAGATCATAAAAATATCACTAGATTTCATTGTGATGGAATCGCACAGAAGCTAGGTGTTCCAGAAGTTCTCTGCTTGGGGTCAAATGACAAAGTCATGTGAATGCATTTGTCTTAAAATCTCTTTCTAATAACATCCACAACCCCTTTGGTGTGTCACAAGCAGCCTGTGGTCTCTGTGTTAATTGTCTTGCAGCTTCCATGTTTCTGAAGCAAGCTTTTGAAGGCGAATACCCAAAGTTGTTGAGACTCTATAATGATTTGTGGAAGCGGCTTCAGCAATACAGTGAAAACATTCAAAGGAATTTTATTACAAACGGAAGTGCAGAACACTTTGCTGAACTTCAACAGATTGAAGATGATACGCAGGACATATTCATCCAAAAGAAGCAAGATTACGAGTATGTGAATACTGAGTATCATTATTATGTGTTATATGTGCCAGAAGAGAACAGTATATTTCAGATTCCCCTGCTTCCTGCAGCAATCGGGGGTTTTGTTTCAGTGTTTTGAAGAGCAATTTGTCATTTGATTTTAAAGAACGGACCATTTTCTGTAGCATAAGGGCATGGTGTTTGTATTGATCTGTTCACCATACCTATTGAATTTGGTACCACAGGCAGTTATTATAGCAGGGGTCCTCAAACTAAGGGCCGGGGGCCAGATACAGCCCTCCAAGGTCATTTATCTGGCCCTTGCTCAGGGTCAACCTAAGTCTGAAACGACTTGAAACCACACAACAACAACAAAAACAACAACAATCCTATCTCGTCAGCCAAAAGTAGGCCCACATTTCCCATTGAAATACTAATACGTTTATTTATTATTTATTTACAGTATTTATATTCCATCCTCCTCACCCTGCAGGGGACTCAGGGAGGATTACAATGTACATATACATGGCAAACATTCAATGTCATAGTCACATAACATATATATGTTATGTGTTATATATATATATAACATATATAGACAGACACTCAGAGGCTATTTAACATTCCAGCTACTGGCCACCAGGGGTGCTGTCGCTTCACCGTCCATTTGTGACACTGATGACATACTTCCTCATTCTTTGCATACTTCCTGGAGATTTTTATGGCCTCATAAATCAGTTAAATTATATTTCTTAAAATTGTTCTTTATTTTATTTATTGTATTGCTTTAAAATGTTTTTTGCACTACAAATAAGATATGTGCAGTGTGCCTAGGAATTCATTCATGGTTTTTTCAAATTATAATCTGGCCCTCCAACTGTTTGAGGGACTGCGACCTGGCCCTCTGTTTAAAAAGTTTGTGGACCCCTGTATTACAGTGTCCAGAAGTTTGAACAGAAGTAAATTAATGCTAAATATTTTTTTCCCTTTGTGACTTGTGAGATATTTTTACACGAGTCTTTGAATTAGTAGGCCCTCTCTAATGTGTTCTTTGGCTGGGGTTTTCAAACCCACCATAGAAATCCTTTCTAAAGCAGAATCGTTTAAAGCTTTCATCTCTATCAAGTTCTCTAAAAGCATAACATGGCTGACCGTGCCTTGACATCCTTTGATCTCGGTCCAAATGAAAGGAAAAATGAAAAGTAAAATTGCATGAGACCACTTGAAAATCAGAGCCATGGGAAAATAAAGAAGTAGAAGAATTCTCTCCGAAATTCTATTGTTGCATTATGTCTGTTAGACTAACAAACACATAGGCTTGAAGAAACCAGGAAAATATTGGATAGCTCTGACATTTGGTTGCAGGATTCTTGTAGCTGTGCTCGTGATGAGTTTGTGGTTTTTCATTTCTGGGCAAAAAAATGGAACCAACAGATTACTTTGAGATGTAAACAATTTCAGTGATTATTTTATTAACCCCCCCCCCCCTCAATTTTAAGTTAAGTTATATCAAATCTACTTTGAGAAATTTGAATTATTCTTTTTTTTTTAAGGAACACTGCATGCATTTAAAAAGAATAAATTACTATATTTTCTTGCGTATAAGACTACTTTTTAACCCTGGAAAATCTTCTCAAAAGTTGGAGGTCATCTTGTATGCCGGGTGCCGTCTTATACGGCGGGTGCTGAAACTTCCGAGCCGGACCAGAGAATCTGCAGTCGCTGTATATGGTGGGGGGAGGTCAAAAAAGGCTGTGGCCACATCTCCTCCATATGTGGTGACCATATGAAAGTAGCAAGGGCGGTGTTGTACAAGTACAGTAGAAGAAAAACCACTCACAAGGTTTTGTAGAAAGAAGTGACTTAAAATGGTCCCGATGAGGAGTGAGGGGGCGCCTCACCGAGAAGGTGTAAGTGAAGGGCGGAGCAAACTACAGGCGTCCAGGATGCCCGGGGTATGGAAAAAAGAGATAGAGCGTCGCTATATCCAGAAAAACACGCCTCTTTCACCCATCTGGCCCGCCCTTGAATCTTATTACTATACCTCCTTCTCTGCCTCTCAGATCTCGCTCCTGAGGACTGTAGTGAAGCAGCACAGGCGCACATGTGCAAGATCTGAGAGGCAGAGAAGGAGGTACGGTAATAGGAAAATTCCCATATTGAAATCAAATGTTATGGTTTTAAAATTGTGTTGGAAGAGCGGTAGTCTTATATGGAGAGTATATCCCAAACTTTATATTTTAACTGAAAAAGTTGGGGGTTGTCTTATACGCCAGAAAATATGGTAATTATTTAATGCCAAACACATGTCTACTAGTCTGGGAGACTGAGTGCTTTTTGTACTACAAGGTCCTGATCATTGGCATGCTGTCTTTGGCTTGTATTAGAAAGAGTTCAGCACATTTTTAGTTAAGGTCTTTGGAAATACAGCAGAGTCTCGCTTATCTGACATAAACAGGCAGGCAGAAAGTTAGATAAACAAAAATGTCCAATAATACGGAGTCTCCTATTGTTCCCTGTCCAACGTGGCGCTAGACACCAAGAATACTAACAACAGGGACTCAAAAGGTTAAGGCAATACAATGCCTCAGGGCTAGAGCAGCCCTGCAGGAAGTGCCCAGATGTAGAAGAAGAGCGTGGAAGTCACAGAGGGAAGGAGGGAGGACGCTTCCGGTCCTGCCTCTTTTCCCCCTTCCTCCTCCTCCTCCTCCTCCCTCTCCCTGTCTTGCCTTGTTCACTTATTGGGAACTAGCCGTCTCCTGCCATGCGTTGCTGTGGCCAAGTCTGTGTATATGTGTTTTTTGTGTGTAAAAGTGTGTGTATATATTTGTTTGTCTATATGTGTATATATGTGGTTTTGCGCATGTGTTGTAATTTTTTTGGCTTTTTAAGTCTCTTCTGCTGTGTTTTTCAGTGTTTTTATGAGTGATGGTCACTTGTTGGCCTGATAGGTGTATTGTGTCCAAATTTGGTGTCAATTCGTCCAGTGGTTTCTGAATTCTGTTAATCCCACAAACGAACATTACATTTTTATTTATATACTAGCCGTCCCCTGCCACGCATTGCTGTGGCCCAGTTTGGTGATCCGGAAAATAAAGAGAAAGTGTTGGTTTCTAATATATGTAATTTCTTTATGCTTGTGTTGATGTAGACATTGTCTAGTTGGCCTACTCTGGAACATGCAACATATAATTGTCCTTGCTTAGGGGTCCCTTTCACATCTATCATCTATCATACTGTGTGAATAATATCTATCTATATCTGTGGCTGGATGGCTCTTTGTCAGGAGGGCTTTGATTATTTTCTTGCCCTGGTGAAGGGAGTTGCTAGTGATCTTAAGTATTTTCTGTTGGTCAGGGTTCTGTGTGGGAAGTTTGCCCCAATTCTGTCGTTGGTGGGGTTCAGAATGCTCTTTAATTGTACGTGAACTATGAATCCCAGTAACTACAAATCCCAAATGTCAAGGTCTATTTTTCCCAAACACCATCTGTTCATATTTGGGCATATGGTGCCAAGTTTGGTCCAGATCCATCATTGTTTGAGTCCACAGTGCTCTTTGGATGTAGGAGAACTACAACTCCCTAACTCAAGGTTAATGCCCACCAAACGCTTCTAATGTTTTCTGTTGGTCATGGGAGCCCTGTGTGCCACGTTTGGTTCACTGCCATTGTTGGTGGAGTTCAGAATGCTCTTTGATTGTAGGTGAACTATAAATCCCAGCAACTACAACTCCCAAATGACAAAATCAATTTTTTTGAGTGAAGGACATACATTGGGTTGTTAGGTGTCTTGTGTCCAAATTTGGTGTCAATTTGTCCGGTGATTTTTGAGTTATGTTAATCCCACAAAAGAACATTACATTTTTATTTATATAAGACTAGCCATCTCCTGCCACGCATTGCTGTGACCCAGTCTGTGTATATGTGTTTTGTGTGTTTATATGTGTGTGTGCATATATTTGTGTATATGTGGCTTTGTGCATGCGTTGTAATGTATTTTTTTTAATTTTTTTTGGCTTTTTAAAGTCTCTTCCACTGTGTTTTTCAATGTTTTTATGTGTGGTGGTCACTCCTTGGCCTGATAGGTTGTTTGTTTTTTGTCTTTTTAAGTCTCTTCTGCTGTGTTTCTCAGTGATTTTATGAGTGAGGGTCACTCGTTGGCCTGATAGATGTATTGTATCCAAATTTGGTGTCAATTCACTCCGTAGTTTTTGTTATGTTAATCCCACAAACAAACATTACATTTTTATTTATATAGATAGATGTAGAAAGTGTTGGGGGTGCTCCTTTAATTGAAAGGGAAATCTTAGAGGAAAAGGGAGGCTTCTGATAAGACGAAATGTCAGATAAGCGAAGGTCGGATAAGGGAGACTCTACTGTAGTTCTTTTCATTGCAGTAACCTACATCTTATAAGCTCTGAATTTTGATTTAAGTGTGCTGTTGTATCGTGTGCCATTAAAATTTCTCTTATTAGTCTGTATAGTCTGCATTAGTCTCTTATTAGTCTGTATTTCTCTTATTAGTCTGTATGAAAGTAGAATAAGGCTCTGGTAGAGTGTATGAATTCTGCAGATATTAGGAAGATATGGTTCAGCCTTCAAATGATTCGCATAACATTTTGTCGTATTTTTAAAAGGTTATAAAAATAACCAATTGACTCTATTCTCCAGCCCAGAAATAGCTCTAAAGGACTCTTTGCAAGCCTATGAAGCTGCCTACTTGTCAAAGTCCTTGTCTCGACTCTTTGACCCTATCAATCTTGTGTTTCCCCCTGGAGGTCGCAATCCTCCTTCAACCGATGAACTTGACAGTATCATCAAAACCATTGCAAGGTAAGGGTATAATCTATAATGTTAGCGCATTCAGTACATAATGTGTAACGTTATTTTGCCTCCCCTCAACGTGCACTTAAATTAGACTTTTGGAAGTGAATGTTCGCTATTGTTAAGTGATTAATTCTTTTGTCATTATAAAAGTAGTTAGCAACAGAATTAAACTGAAGCTTATGTCTTGCATTTTATTATGTAAATCAATAAAAAGCTTTCAGTATGTTTGGGTCCATTGCATTCCCCTTCCCCACCACCAAGAGTCACCCCTAAGTAGTCTCTGTAGATGGAGCTGTAGTCTAGTAAAGTTTATGCTACCAACTTCATTTTCTTTTAGTCTCCTAAGGTGCTACAAAATCCCATCCATATACTGATTTTCCAGAGTAACATGGTTCTATCTTTGAATTATATCAATAGTTTATCTATGTTTTTAACTTTTATATAAAATTAAATATTTAAAATATGTAAAATGCAACAAAATACAAACACTATTTTCATTTTAACTTTTTCTGTCATCAGATAGATAGATAGAGATAGATAGAGAGGTGTAATAACATGACATCAGGCCCAGAGCCGGAGGGGGGGGGCTTGAGGGGCTTCAGCCCCCCCCCCAAATCTCAGGGTGGTCCGCGAGAAGGCCTTACTGGTACATTATTTAAACTGTTATGTTTCCTGTCGTAGTCAACTGTGAATCGTACATTTGATATCTCTGCGCCTGCGCAGTGCAGCATTCGGAACCTTCTGGAAAATAAAAATAACATTTTAGACCCCAGCTAGCCCCGCCCACCTCCCTCGAGTATATATAGCCCGTGGGCAGGGCTACTCTTGCGAGCTATCGGCTTTATTAGACTGTTTAGAGGTATTCTGACCATTTGGACTGTTTTTTTGACTTCTCTATTGCCTAATCCCTTGGCTATGGCTAACGTTGGCTAGGGCAGATCCTGAGCGCCCCCCCCCCCCCCCCCCGAAATCAAAATCCTGGCAACGGACCTGCATGGCATTAATTCAAAAATGTTCTTTCTCTGTTCGGTAAGTTAAAATACTATTTAAAAATTTTTTTTGTTTCTAGTGAGCTGAATGTTGCTGCTGTGGATCCAAACCTCAGCTTAGCAGTATCAAAAAATGTGGCAAAGACCATACAACTTTTTGGTGTGAAGTCTGAGCAGCTTGTAAGTTTTCCTTAATTCAAAATGATTTTCTTTTAAAGTCTAAATAAATGTGTTGTTTGCCATAAGCAGTTCTTTTTTTCTAAAACAATTTTATTTATTTATTTATTTATTTATTTTACCCTATTTATATCCCACCTTTCTCTACTCCGAAGGGGACTCAAGGCAGCTTTACATATAGGACAACATACAGTTAAAATACATTTATGTTAAAATTTATAATTAAAATTAATGCACATTAAAAACATATAAAAACAGTATTATATTATATATTATATAAATAATATGTTGTATATACATATAATATTGATAATATGGTAATGTAATACAATATAATACTACTACTAATAACAATATGATAATATAATTATATATTTGATATTAAATGTAATATTATTAATAATATTACAGTATAATGTTATAGTACAATGTAATATATAATATTAATATTGTGCTATGGTAATAATATAATATATTGTATTTGCTTTTATTTGTAAGCCGCTCAGAGTCCCCTTCTGGGTGAGAAGGGCGACCTATACATGTTGTAAATAAATAAATAAATAAATATTAAAATTATGTTTGGATAACTAAATGTTATGAATAATATTTCCATTCAAATTATTTGCCTAAAATCACGTAAGCGTTTTGCCAATGGATAACAAGGTCAAGACTGACAACTCTTGCAGTTTGTAGATCTGTGATATGTTTGTGAGATCACTTGTAAATACAAAGAAACAGAGGGAGGGAGGGAGGGAGATAAAGTAAAAAAGTCATAGTTTGTCTGTATATTAATTTCTCCATTTTTTGAAGAAAAGTGATTGCATAATTTGTTGTACTGAGTGTCAAATGAGCTGTAACCAAAAGCCAAATCAACTGATACTCACTATATTGGTATAAAATTTTAGAAATATAAACCAAACTCAGGAATGTTTTACATAGAACCTGTGAATGAGCTTGTATTTTAACAAATGGGTTTACACTAGGCAACATGTAGCCTTGGTTTTGAAAAGGCTTCTGCGTATGATATCTGGAAAGAGCATCCATTTGCTCAGTAATCCACTGACTGTAGAGAAAGAGAGAGAGAAGCAAAGGAGAGAGGAGCAGTGGAAAAAGAGAATAAATAAGCATTTTATTTTATGGTTTGTGCAATTAAATCCTACCTCATCCCCGGATCCCCTCTCTGATATTTTACATTGTCCTATCTCCCAGTGTTTTAAAATTTTATCTTTGAATTTGGCCCTGCCCAGTGTGATCATTTGTGTTTTAATGTTTGAGTTTATATTGCTGTGTCACTTATTTATATTGGTTTTGCATCTTATGTTATTTTATTTTCTGATTTTTTGTTGTATTTTTGTGTTAGATTCTGTTTACTATATATATATTGATCGGCGTGGCGTCATGTAAGCCGCCCCAAGTCCCCTTGGGGAGATGGAAGCAGGGTATAAATAAAGTATTATTATTATTATTATTATTATTATTATTATTATTATTAATGTGGCTTCTGTTAGTAGCTATTCCCACCCCCCAGCAACCCCTCCCCGCCAAATTATTGTACATACTTGTGTATAAGTGGAGAGCAGGTTTTGAGGCCAAAATTATGGATTTTGATATGACCCATGGGTAAGTAAAGGGTCATATGGCCGAGATGGGAAAGAGCCAGCATCACCATGGGGCGAGCTGTCCCAGGCCCCAGCCACTTTCATTTTCCCATCCAGAGATTCCAAAAGGCCTGGAACAGCACCATCATAGAGAGAGTAAAGGGGGTCAGTAAATAAATATTAAAATTATGTTTGGATAACTTTCACTACTCTACTCAGTGACGGTTTCTTTTTTTGACAAGAGTTAAGTTGCCGTAATTACATTAATCCATGAATAAGATGACTCAAGTTTTGTGGGGTTGATCTTTTGACTGCAATTTCTAGACATATACAGTACTCCAGAGGTAATGAAGATATGGCTCATAATCAATGTTGTAATGGTTAATTTTGAAATATTTATTTATGTATTTATTTACTACATTTATATGCCACCCTTCTCACCCCGAAGGGGACTCAGAGAGCTTACAAGACATATAATACAATATATTAATTATTAGCATAGTACAATATATATTATATATATTACTATATTGTACTAGACCATTATATTGTAATATTATTAGTATATTACATGTAATATAAAATATATTATAATATGTATATTATTAGTAGTATTATATTGAATTACATTATATTATAAATATTCTATGTATATACAATATATTATATTATATTATATTATATTACATTACATTACATTACATTATTAGTAAAGCACAGGAGACAAGATGAAATTGTCTTTTGCCTCCCTCTCTCTTCACTTTGGCCCAGAGCAGCAGTTAGTGCTGGGGGGGGGGGCTCCCAAACGATGACATAGGCAGGAGACCAATTTATATTGTAGTGAGGGAGGGAGAGACTATTACTTTATTTAGGCAAAACCTTTTTGCTCTTATAATGATTCAGTTACTTCTTTTATATTAGCTGGGACTTTCTGTGTGCTGTTTATTCTTTGTACAGGCACTGAGACACACACTTCTGTATAACAAAGTAACACAGTTTATTTATAACTTCTGGCTCCAATCGCTTGTGGTTACATTTTGTGTTTTGTTGCAATCTTGAGGCTTACAGTCAGTATAATATACTTGGTTTACTTTTCTGAAATAGACTTTCAATGTTTCACATTCACAAACATGTTACTTGCTTTACACACTCTTGACTGAGATTATTTTCTGACTAAAGCACCACTGGCTTTCTTTATGTTCCTAAAACTTTAGTTATATTTAACTAACTGCTTCTATATATCGGAAGTCTTTAACACATCTTCATAACTGCTTATTTCTACAGGAGTTCCTAACTCTTTTCTCTCACAGAAGTTCCTAACTGTCTTTCACAAACAGGAATCCCTAACTCTCTTCACAAACAGCAATTCCTAACTCCTCTCACAAACAGCCATTCCTAACTGACTCTTCTTACTCTCTAACTGCCATTTTGGCCTAGCAACCAGTTCAAATCCTGGGCCTACGCTAATCTGCATATGACCAATCGGCTTCCATATGCAAATGAATCCTATCTCTGCTGTTGCTACCCTGTCTGTGCCTATTCTTCCCTATGTGCCATATGTAAACAGAGAGCTATACACCAAAAATTTACCATAGAGTAGCAATTTCGCTACACCCCTTCTCCCTTCACTATGGACCAGAGAAGCAGTTAGTGCCGGAGGGGGGGGGGCTCCCAACCGATGACATAGGCAGGAGACAAGATGGAACTGTATTCTTCCCCCTCTCTCTTCACTCTGGACCAGAGAAGCCCTAAAATACTAAAAGAAATACTAAAAGTCATTATGACAAGTCCTCTTACCATGACTTTTTGGAGGGTTCAAAAGGCAGGCAGGTGCGTTGAGCAGCGTGTGTACATGCGTGCACATTTTACAATTTGTCCTGTCACCCTTGGAAAATTCTCTTTTATCACACATGCAGTCCGGCTTCTGGCTGCAGCAGAAAAATCACTTCAGTGTCCCTTTCACTAACTTTTTAAGACAGTGAATACTGCTTATGAACTGCCGTGCAAAGCTTGCCATAAAGATGAAGAGTGTATGGGTGACTTTATCTGACCTTCTTTGGGGGCTAAGGAACAGAATAGATATCCAGCTGCTCACAAACGCACACACTTCTAGTTCTGCTAAAGTTTTTGACTGCCCTGACCAGCTGTTCTCTTCTTTGACCCACTTTTAGATTGATTTAGAAAGCAGTGTAGGGAAGAGGACATGGCTGAGGCTGAATAGATTTTAGTTGATAAGTGTGTGCATGAACGTATATGGATAACTGTGCTGAAGTTGAACAGTGTGTTGCACATTTCCAGCAACGTTCTGTCCTTTTTGCAGATCAAAATAAATTCAAACCTAAATATTTGGGCTTCGTTTTGTACAGTTAAATAATAGATGTTTCATTTATAAGATGCCAAATGTGTTTCCGAACATGCCAGGACAAATTTGCCATTGAATTGTAAAATCAGACGTGGTAGCCATGAATAGTCAAGGCCTGCAGTTGCTTCTGTGTCATCCAGTCTTTTGTGTGGTGTGGAGTGTGATTCAGTGAGAAATGTGATTTCAAAGTGGCAAGCAGCTTCAGAATAATAGTGTAGAAATATAGTGACAGGTATGTAATGGGGGGAAGGGTCCCACCAGTTAATTCAAAGATACTGCTGTTGTCAAGAGCTATTACGTTTCAGAACTGTTGTGACTCTTAGCATCTTAAACATCCTCAGAGAAAAATGAGCATGAGGAATGCATTGAGATTGGGGAGAGGGGAGTAGGAGTTGTGTTACCTTTATTCTTCCTGCTAGTAAGAAGACAAAACTCTTTAATTTCAAAATACATTTTACTTGGGAGATTTATTTATCCATAAATAAATAAGTAAATAAATTTGGGAGATAAATACTTCCAGGACCACAAACTTGGGAGATAAATATTTCCAGGACCACAAACTTGGGAGATAAATACTTCCAGGACCACAAACTTGAGATATAAATACTTCCAGGACCACAAACTTGGGAGATAAATACTTCCAGGACCACAAACTTGAGATATAAATACTTCCAGGACCACCTTGAGTCCCCCTCGGAGGTGAGAAGGGCGGGGTATAAATATATGCAATCATCATCATCATCATCATCATCATCTATATAAATAAAAATGTAATGTTTGATTGTGGGATTAACATAACTCAAAAACAACTGGATGAATTGTTAGTAGGGTTCACCTACTAACCCAAGGAGTGACCATCACTCAAAAAAAATTGATTTTGTCATTTGGGAGTTGTAGTTGCTGGGATTTATAGTTAACCTACAATCAAAGAGTATTCTGAACTCCACCAACAATGGAATTGAACTAGACTTAGCACACAGGACTGCCATGACCAGAAAAAGAAGGGTTTGGTGGTCATTGACCTTGAGTTTGGGAGTTATAGT